CTACCTTCAAACCCAACAAAAGCTCACACCTAAGCAAGCAAGGTGGCAAGAGTTCTTAGCGGAGTTTGATTACAAGCTAGAGTACAAGCAAGGAAAGGAGAATGTGGTGGTCGATGCTCTAAGTAGATGAGTAGAGCTAATGGTTACGGTACTCAAGCCGCAAGCCATCTCTTGGGCCGTGTCCGAGAAGGTTTATCACATGACGTCCAAGCCAAGAACATTGTGGAGTTTGTCAAGGATGGGAAGACAAGAAGGTTTTGGCTTGAGGACAGCTTGCTATACACCAAGGGCAAGCGGATCTACATCCCAAAGTGGGGAAGCTTGAGGAAAGAAATCCTTAAGGAGTGCCATGACTCAATGTGGGCAGGACATCCTGGCACTCACCGCACGTTGGCTTTGGTGAGCGATGGTTATTATTGGCCACAAATGCGGGATGATGTAGATTCATACGTGAAGACTTGTCTTGTGTGCCAACAAGACAAAGTGGAACAAAGGCAACCGGGAGGACTGTTGGAACCACTTCCCACCCCATCAAGACCATGGGAGTGTTTAACAATGGATTTCATCACACATTTGCCCAAGTCTGATGAATGTGGATCTATCTTCGTCGTGGTCGATAGATTCACCAAGTATGCCACTTTCATACCCGCACCTGTGGAGTGCACAGCCGAAGTAGCTGCACGCTTGTTTCTAAAGCACGTGGTGAAGTATTGGGGTGTTCCGAGGAGCATAGTCAATGATCGAGATGCTCGCGTCACGGGTAGATTTTGGAAGGAGCTCTTCAAGCTACTTGGCTCAAAGTTAGACTTCTCCACGGCTTTTCATCCCCAAACTAATGGACAAACGGAGCGGGTTAATGCATTGTTAGAGACTTATTTTGCGGCACTATGTTAGTGCCAATCAACGATATTGGGCTAAGTTACTTGATGTTGCCCAATTTTCTTATAACTTGCAACGTTTGGAGTCGACGGGGAAAAGTCCGTTCGCGTTGGCTATAGGGCAACAACCCTTGACCCCCGAACACGGTCGTGACTGGCTACACGGGGAATAGTCCAGCAACTTTTAAAACCGCTAAGGAGTGGCAATTAGCCCACGAACTTGCTCGAGCTCACTTGGAGAAGGCTTCAAAGAAGATGAAGAAATGGGCGGATCGTAAGCGAAGGAATGTGGAGTTCCAAACTGGCGACCAAGTCTTTGTGAAGCTCAATGCGTCTCAGTACAAGAGTACTCGTGGCTTGCACAAGAGCTTGTTGCGGAAATATGAGGGACCATTTCCTATCATCAAGAAGGTTGGCAAAGCCGCTTATGTTGTGGAACTCCTACCCCGCCTCAAGTTTCACCCGGTGTTCTATGTGAGCAACTTGAAGCCTTATCATGCGGACGATGAGGAACCAAGCTGAGGTGAGTCTCACCGAGCACCCCTCCTTTGATGACAGAGGCATTTGACAAAGAAGTGGAGAGCATTGAATCCAAGCGTGTCGTGGTGCGACCAAGACAACCAAAGCATGTGGAGTACTTTGTCAAATGGAAGGGGCTACCATACTCCGAAGCAACATGGGAGAAGGAGACGTCCTTATGGCAATATAAGGACCTGATTGAGACATTCGAGAGGCAAGAGTCGACGAGGACGTCTACGGCTTAAGTGGGGGAGGATGTCACGAGCCGTATGTTAAAAACAAAGAAAACGCCCAAGACATCATATATCTAAAGCCCATAAAGCCTTGTCTTCATGGAAGCTTCTGGAACATCCCGGAAAAATCAAGAACATGACGGAGCGTTCAAGATAATCTAGGGCATTCCGGAACATTCCACACAAGTGTACAAATTTAAGCCTCACCTAGAACAATCTAGATTAGGCAAGTTGTATCTAGAACTATGCTAGATATTTTTGGATGTAAGTAGGGAATTCTAGAACCCTCCATTGAGGAGGTAACTTAGGCCTATAAATAGAAGGCAAGGCCATTTGGCCAATCCATCCAACAATTGTAAGCAATTGTAAAGTTCTCATAAGTTTCAATACAAAGCTTCCTTTCTCCCATCTTCTAAGTGATTTTAGCATTCTCCAAGCTATCTTAGCTTTCTTTGTGATTCGATTCGGGGAAGCGAGGCTTCGAAGGCTTACTTAGCTTGTTCATCGAGGTATTCAAGTCTAAGTGCCGCACGGGCGGAAGGCTTAAAGAGTCATCCCGTGACACTAGGCACCTAAACCGCCTAGCCGCCTAGGCGCTAGGCTCCAGCCCGACACCCGACTAAAGCCTAGCGTTTTTTAGAACCTTGCTTGTCAGTGAGAGGTCTTAGATTTGATTCTCGCCAAAAGTGAATTTGAACCTCATTATTGTTAGCCCATTGTGAAGATAAGCACACCTCATCCCCCTTAGTGTATAGATAATATCAGTTGTTTAAAAAAAAAAAAGTCATGTAGTCACATTTTTTGTCTTCATCAATCAACATTGACTCATGTAAAGTCATGTGATTGTTGTATCCATTATCTATATATACCAGACATGTTCATTCTTGACAGTTGTTGCGGAATCGCAAGCAAAGAACATACTAGTGCCTTTTCCCCCCCTCCTTGACATAATGAACCTGTTTGACCATTTTACTCCTACAATCTTTGGCAATATGCCCAAACGTATCACATTTGTGACACTTTGGATTTAAATCAGCATTCACCAAAATGTAAATTTGCACAAATCTTGCAATCTCCTTTACTACCATAGTTCTTTACAATCACATTTGGCTTCTCATTTTGTTTCACATAGTGTTTCTTCTACTACTTATTCTTCCAAGGCTTATTGCCTTTATAACCACCAACTTGTGAGTTCTGTTTTGGTTGAATACTTAGGCTACTAAATGCTCTTTCATTCACCTCTCCATCTTCAGCATGTCTCATTCATCTTTGCTCAAAACCTTTGGGTGTTGTTGTAGACTCAGTTGGATCAATCTCACTGATTTGCTTTGTACCCTCAATAAAAGATACAATAGTAACCTAAGTATGAGTGAGGCTAATGTACAGCTTCTCTACCATAATTTTATTTAACAAATCCTCTCCGTGCATTTTCATTTGACTCACCAAAGCAAACTATCTAGTCCAATAATCAAATAGAGATTCACCATTACTCATTCTAGCATTCTCAAAATCAAGACGGATACCTTGTAATTTCATTGCCATGACCTGATAATCGCCTTTGTATTCCTGCTTCAACACATCCCAAGCTTTGTTAAATGTCTCTTGATTCGCAATCCTGAAAAAAATTCCGTCACTCACTGTACTTTGAATTAACCTTAGGGCTTTTGCATCTCTGGAAATAAGATCCTGAGCAACAATCAGCTACTTCTCAACCATTTGCTTCTCATCTTAGGGAAGTTCATAGCCATTTTCAGCACAACCCAAGAGATTGTGAGACTTGAAGATAGTCATCATTTGACACACAAAAATTCATAGTTGACAATATTGAAAATCAGAGCTTGAATATCAGCTCCAGATCCAGACATTTTGTTCTTCAATTTATTTTGAGCTCTTGGTTGAAAGCTCAAAGAACATTTCTCAGATCATGCCCCTCATTCAATTCGAACCTAGCTCTAAGGCCATGTTAGTGTGTTTAGGGGTGATGAACTCGATTTCCAATAGGATTTAACTCATGAAATCACTGAGAATGTGATCGTCGAATTGTAGAGAAATGGAAGAAAGATGGTCACCAATGTAATCTCTCAAGAATATATCTACATTGGATTCTCTCTCTCTCTCTAAAATATGTTAAAAAGAAAGCATGAGGAGCGTGTGATATAGCTGTTTCTAGGCATCACACCTCAATAACAACGGCACACATGAGTTGCACATGATCAAATTAAATCAATTATAAAACAAGACATGTGGCACAATCTACACCATTTAGATGTTATAATCGTGACCATCCATTAGAAACTTTGCGAACTTAAACTTCAAAAAAAATCCTGAGATTTTTTTTTGGTCAAACGATAGATTTGTTAGATTAGATGTTAGATTAAGGAGCCGACAGGGTTTGAACTTGTTGGAAATATTTTTTGATAAGGATGCTACTTCTCCTACAACAAATCACATAAAATAATGTTAGTATATCACAATTTTATCACCTCAATTTATTAAATAAAATAAACCAAATAAAATAAAATACTTAACTTCTGTAGGTAGAGAACGTTCTTCGTCGATCCTCAATTAGAACAAGATTTTTAGGTTGAGGTGTGTAGTCACTGTCCTTAAGAGTAGATTTTGCCCCTCTAAGACAATGTCTCGGTGTAGCAGGTTATGGCGCCCTACCATCCAGGATACAACAACCTATAATCATCTTAAGCGTACACTCACGATACTTGGATCGTACGAACAACTTGATTTTCCTTTGGCATATGAGAGATGAAATTATAATAGCATTTGAGAGAATACAATAAATCAAGAGAGGAGAGGAAGGTGGGATTCCTTTAATTAGGTGAGGTTTGTAGGAAAGAAAATATTTGAAGTCCAATAGCAAAAGGAGTAGTCTAGGTAAAGATCAACATAATCCTTACGGCATGAAGAGTTGTTTTTATATAGAACATGATAAAGGTAAACATGATCCTTGCGCAAAGGTCGTGAAAAAAGACCTCGTGAGACGAAGAAGTCCACATTCGTTGCGCGAAAGGTATACGGACAAAGGCTTTCGTCGCATGATATAAAAGGGTACAAGTGTTTTGTGATGAGAATTTCTGGAGACGTCTAAAATTCGTCTCGAAAATCTTTGCACGACGAAACATGTAACACGCGCGTGGTTTTACACGACGACAGGTATGCGTCGCGCAAGTGTAATTTTTTAATAAAAAATAATAATAATAAATAGAATAAAAGGAATATTATTATTAAAAATATATATTTCATACAATTCAGAAGAAAAAAAAAAAAACAAATTAATGAATAAAAAACAATTTTTTTTATAATATAAATAAAAATGTACAAACAAATACAAAGTTTAGAAAGAAAGAGGAAACAAAAACTATGAAAAAAATAAGGAATAGTCTATACGCAAGTCATTTAGAGGTGCTTGGTAATCTTGCTGCTAGAAGAAGGTGGGGTTAGGGACGGGGTCGAAGGTCGACGGGCCTGATTGCTGTGTATGCACGGTGTGGAGGGGCTCTGACGGTCGTGGTGCAAAAAAACTGGGGAGACGGATCCCGGAGGAACTAAGGGCTTGTACAAGCATTCACATTTAAGACATGTACGATGCAAGCTCACTCCTCATGCTAGCGACTTCCTGCGTCAAAGCCATAACCTCGCCCTTCGACTGCAAGGATGAAGATGCTCTACTCTCCCTCCACCTGGCATTTCCCAACCCCCGACAATATGTCCCTTGCGTCCGACCAAAAGTGTGGTTGAACGTCTCTGTAAGGATGTGAAACCCCGCATCTTCAGAGGGATCCACAGATCGATTGGCGTGTCCTGGGGAAGCTGGGAGGCGAACTCCTGAAGCAACTAACCCTTCTCCACCATAGTCGCCTATGAAAAAAACATGGATTATTAATAGAAAACAATTTGAAATCATTAGTATAAATCTTTAATGCATAAGAAATTACTTGCAAGAAGTAACTCGGTCAACTCATCCCAGGCCGAACATAAACGTTAGCAAAGACATCGATCTCCGGGAAATTTGAACCCTCCTGAAATAGAAAAGATAAGGAAAATGTTAGTACGAAAACAAACAAAAAACATTATTAGCGACATTTTAAAATTGGAAATAAAAGCTGTAATATATACCTTCTGCCACGCCTACATCCTATATGAGAAAAGCCTTAAACCCGAATGGTGGAAAAGAGTCTTCTTCTCCCGATTGCCCTTGTTCGCCTTCGCCTTCTTCTGTTATACACAAAATAAACATATTAGTCGTAATATTTAAAGAACATAAAAAATTTAAAAAAATCATAATAAACATTAGTAAAAATTTTAAAAAGTAACATGAAAGAAGTCCTAATTAAAAACGCACCACATAGCCCGGCTCCTGAAAATGACCGCAAAGTCAATCCCAATTATCTTGTCGGTCTTCAAGCTCGTTCAGGCAACCCTCCTCGAGAGCGACCTGTGGATCACTAAACATCTCGAAATACTGGTGCAAGTCACTCTTCCACAACTTGTAGCGTTCGGAGTATAGCCGATTGAGGTACGTCAACATGTCCTCGTTGATGTCATCCAAATTGTAGTTTGTCTACATGTAACAAATATTATGAAAGTATTATTAATAAAGACATTAATAAATATAAATATATAAATTTTAGATGAAAAGCATTAAAAAGGCAAAAATACTTACTAACAAATGATTGCGCACCGTGTTCTTCACCTTCTCTGGCATCGCCTTCCAAGACTTCCACTGCATAGGGCAAAAGGTCCGCACGACGTGCCCAATGTCATGGGCCAATGCACTATGCTACTCCGTCGTTGGTGTTGTCCAATGTCGCTCATCATATCCGATTGTGATACGATCATTGGTCACCCGGGTGACCTTCAATTGCCGACAAGGTCCCCAGGTGTTTTTCTTGGCTGCAAAGAAATGAAAAATTAATAACAAATCATACTAAAATTTCTGCATAACCTCCATATAATGAAAACATTTCCCAAAACCCTAAAAATAAGAAAAACAATATACATATCCAACACAATGATCACAACAGTTTAATAATAGGTTCGGAACGATGACAACAATAAACAATATATATATATATATGATAACTTTTTAATCCTTAAATGACATAACTTAACAAACTAAACCTAAAATAACAAAACTAAGTTAACATGGGAATGAGGTAGTAAATTAGGATAGTATACCTAGCTGTGTACCGGAGGCATTGGTTGTGGATCCCGTTGGCGACATCTGGTATGGAGTGCGGGGGCACCAGTGAGCACGTCGGGCGCTAACAGGTAGCACCATCGAAGAAGTCGAATATGCCGGTGCCAGTAGGACTGGAGGACCAACTGGGTCAACCGGATTCATTGACCTATGGTCCATCTCTGCCGAAGGAGTGGCGGCAGTAGTAGGTGTAGTCGTCGATCAAGGTGTAAAACTCATCGCCTTCCGGGTTCTAATGAGCTATTACATCTACAAAATTGGAAATAAATTTGTTAGATTACAAAGATTTAAATTACCGTACACATGCATAATAATTTCTACTTAAATTTAAAACGAAATTTAAAAACCCTAATTCTAAACCCAATTCAAGTTTGGCAAAAACAAAACTTTAAACTGATCTACTATACACAAACTAATCAATGTCATATAGGATCAGTGGTGGATCAAAGATTTTAACTTAGGATGGTCCCAATATAAAAGCTCCAAATAAAAAAAAAAAAGTGCTAATTGCCTGGTCTATAAGACTATAAAACTCCATGTGCCTCTATCCATTTGAACTGTAGAACAGTTAAAATTTGAGTAAAGATTGCAACTAGGCTGAAATCATGCTATTCATATGCAACATCAGTAGGTGTAGCATCATTGATGCACCATCAGTAGGTGCAGCATCATAACAGGATGGCAAAATTATTTAATGGACAGATTCAAAGAGAGTACAAACTACAAACCTTTTCGACCAAGAAGAAGAGGACCAGCGGCTAGCCTCCAGAGTCCAGACCAGAGCTTTACACGGAGAAAAAATGTAGATTTTCACCAGAGATGTCATCGACTCGTCGCCCCGCCCGTCGGTGCAATAGTGAACAGAAACTAAAGTGCAGCAGAGAGTTGATCGATGCCAAAAGGAATAGAAGCGGGCCGAGCGGCAGACGATTAGATATTATTGGTAAAGTGAAGGTTCTGAATGCTGAATGAGTTGATTGCTCTATCGTGTGAGGGTTCTCATGTGACTCGTGAGTGAGGTTTTAAATTTTTTTAATGACTTGGCTCAAACCGAAGTCGTTTTGGACAAGTCATTTTGCAAAAAAATTGGCTTTCTTCTTTCTCCTCATGAAATGCACAGCCTAATTGAGTTAATCTATTCAATTATTTAAAAACTCAAACAGGAATTAAAGCCTAATTGAGTCCAAATACATAACTTATAAAAAAAAAAAAAACCTTAAATTTAAATAGTGTCCTCAAAAACAAAAATTTAAAACTACTATTTCGATGGTGCTCCACTCTGCTTAACGTCATAGCGCCACCGGTTGTAACCTCCCTCCAACGCCGCCTCCATCAACTTCATCAACTCTTTGTTCGTATCATCATCAAGAGTATACTTACAATGTTACACATATATGCATATAATTCATTCCAACATATAACCAAAAAAAATTCACAAAATTAATTATTGATCCATCAACAGCATAATTACTAATAATTCATCCATCACCACCTTCTTGATACAATCGTGCACATATTTCCTAGAACGCCACTCAGCAGTAGAACAATTATTCCCCATGGCTACAACAATTGCATGTGCGAACTCCACAAGTTGTCTCAAATCATACGGGGTTGGTGATGGATAGCCAGTCAAGCATATATAGAATTTTAGTTGACTAGTGTTGATGACTAGCCAATCAAGCGTATATAGAATTTTAATTACAGGATATTTCACTTGGAACCAATTTCATGCTTGAACGTGTGTATTGTGTAAACTCTTCACTATTAATAAGAACTCATCTACCCTCTATATCTTTACATATTATCCTCACTAGGTGACGGGAATAACTTTGTGAAGGTGACAAACTTGACACCATACGTCGTTCCATAGTCTCACTTATTTTGTGCATCACCATTATTTGTAAATAGTCTCTTACAAGCAATTGAGCCCGCGTGTGCCATCAGTTTTAAAATTGTGTTAAACAGGTGGAATATATTAAAATCTATTAGAATCCTTATGTTCAACAAAGAATTAAAAATAGGTGTTATAATACATAGCAAAAGTTTTAAAAATATGTACAATACAATCCTCGACCAATTCAAGCATACACTTTTTCTTTTCTTCTATCAAAATTGTCATGTAACCCAAAGTCATATGCAAAGTCAGCTAACTGAAAACATTTGTGTTCAGTTGTGTAAAAAGTTGATCACGCTTTAATTGAAAAAATAATCGTTAATACAATTAGGAAAGAAGGGAAAGATGATTCTCATGAGGAGTTAGAAATATTTTGACTTCAACAAGAAGATATTGACAAGGTTTTACATACGTACCTGCAAGCTCAAAGCTGTAGTATTATCTCCAAAAAAAATAATAAATAAATAAAATAAAATTATTCCATCTTAAAATTTTATTTGTGGCGTAGCTTATTATTGTCCTTATTAACAAAGGAAAACTAATAAAAAATTGCTTAAAAACTTTGAGCTTTAACGATAACGACAAAATAAAAGGTAAAGTGAATAGTACCAGGATTGACTTTTTAGTGTAAAATTGTGGTTTTTTGTTAAAATGAACAGTACCAGGAGTTTTTCGTTAAAGTTCCCTATTAACAATTACTACCATGTCGAACTGAGTTTCCTTACAACAGGACCTATTAAAATGATAACTTATTACAATGTGAAATTTATTCCTAAACCCAAACATGGACTAAAACTTTTTATGACTACAAATAAGTTATTCGTTTATAGAGAGAGGTTTTATTGTAGCATTCACAGCACTTATAGCTTTTTATTGAATTATTGAATCTCAAAGAATGTTTACATTATTGCAAGGAAATACAAATGCATAAGGAATTGAAATATAAATACATAAAAAAATAAAAAAATTATCCACTTAAATGTTTATAATGAACTGTAGCTTTCTTTGAATTTATTCTTCTTAAGAAAATTTTTGAACCAATGTGCTGAGAGTTTTGGGTATCTTTTCAGGCCATCTTTATAATCCACGTAGTTTAAACCAAATCGGACAGTGTATCCGGCAGTCCATTCAAAGTCGTCTAACAATGTCCATGCAAAGTATCCCTTCACTTTCGCGCCATTTCTGCACACACACACACAAATGTACAAATTGGTTAGGTCAATATAATGATTAAATAACCATAACATAAGAAGGCTAGGCAGTATATAGCCTTAATCATTTTGTTAATAACTACTTACTTGATCGCCGCTTGAAGGTAACACAGGTGACGATAGTAGTAGTCAATTCTACTGGTATCATGAAGGGCCTCTTCAAGTGATAGTTCTGGATTATTCAACTCTGATACACCTATGTACATATTATTACACAAAAAAATTAAATTTAGTTTCTTCCTCTAAAACTAAAAGAACGTGTTGTTTCATTTTACACCACTATAAATATGTGAAACTTTTGCAATTAATCAAGGCTTAAAAGTTTGTATTACATACCATTCTCAGTAATATAAATGAGTGGATCATTATATTTTTCCTTTGTGTAAAGCACAAGATCGTGAATTCCTTTTGGATATACATATAACCAATCTGAAGCAGCCTGCAACACCATTTGAAGATAATACATAAATATTGGGGGAAAAAAAAAACTACTCCTCCAAATGCAAATACCTCAAAATGATAAATTTGATATTTACCTGTGGACCAATGAGTGCTCCATTAAGCTCAGCTGCCACAATATTTACAAACATTAGAATACAATTGGTGTAAATATTAGAATATAATTAAAGTAATTAAGAAGTTAAACTAGGCAAAGAAGTACAAAGAACTTAAGCTATTCAAACTAAGTTTCCTTTTGCACTCACTTGTAAGATCAGCTCGAGAATCTGTTACGTAGCTTGCCGGTAGTGAATTGTTGTTGGGTGCACTACTTGCGTATCTAGCAGTATAATAATTTATTCCAAGAAAATCAAATGATCCGTTTAGCAACTTGGATTGTTCTTTTTGTGAATTTGGGCAATCTTTTCCCAACAATTGATCGCATGGTGTGTGGATAGTCACCACTTGTTAATGGGTCCAAAAACCTACAAAACATGACAATTCCGGATATTAGCCTAATTATATTATTATATATAAAGAGTACTGCTAGCTAGGTAGTATCAATGTTTCAATTCATAAGTAAACATGTAATTGGGTTGATATATAATTTAATAAGACACTTGCCATCCAAACATAAAATCCAAAGATCGTAAGGCAGCATCTTTATCTTGCTTTGAATCCGAAGCAGGCTCAAACCAGTCTGACACCAATGTTATCCCTATCAAGCCTTTTTGAGTTGCCTACACAAAAAATACGAATTTTGGTTGAACAAATAGGAGCTATGGAAAAAGATACAACCTTTAGATTATCTCACTACAGAGAGTATTCCCTCTTGTATTACAACTCAATAATAATGGTTCATATAGAATTCTCAATTAGGAGCCAATAATCTGACCCCAAAAAAAAAGAACAAAAGTTATTGAACCTGATATCTATTCTTGTACAATTCTACAGCTGCTCCATGAGCAAGAAGAAGGTGGTGTGCCACCAAGTATGGTTCAATGGCTGAATCTCCACCGGTGCAGTTTAGGTTTTTGCCAAGAAGAGCAGCGTCCCGGTACTTGAGTACCAACAGCATAACCCATGTAACTAAAAGTATATGGCTCATTTTCCGTGAACCAGTGCTTGACTCGATCACCAAATTCCTTATAACAAAGTTCCGCATAGTCTTTAAAATGATCGCTGTAGATACACATTTATGTTACGAATATCAGTATGCATTTTATCAAATTATCACTGAGAGAATAAATTTTGTTCACTTACACAATACGAGGGCTTAAGAAACCACCATATTCATCTTCTAAAGCTTGGGGAACATCCCCATGAAAGAGTGTCACAAATGGCTTTAATCCTATATATACATGATCAGTAAAATCAAATTAAAAGTCTGATTGAATGATGTTCTAAAAATTCATGTAATAATTGTTTAAGGTAGGATGATTAACCATTGCGTAGGAGTTCATCGATGAGATTGTCGTAATAATCAATTCCTTTTCTGTTAACGCCACCACTTAACGTTCCATCTAATTAGAACAAAAATAACAAGAAAAATAAGGGTTATACACTAGATAACTCGATCACATTAATTTACTTAAAAGTATATAAAGAGAATAATTTTCTCGTAGGACAAATAATTATTATGCACAATATATATTGACATTGGTCCCAACCAAATATATGAGGATGTGGAGCAACTTACTTGGTAATAATCTGGACCATGAAATAGAGAATCGGTAAGCATCCAACTCCATATCCTTCATAATCCCCACATCTTCCTAGAATGACAAAAGGATATATATCATAATAAGAAAAAGTTTAAAAATTAAATATTGAGGATCTCATTATATTGTGCTTTTTATAAAGGCTCCAAATTTAATATGTTAAACATGTGCCCTGCAAGTATAAAACGGTCAAGATAATAAAGTTATGAGATTCTAGACCTTATAGCGGTGATATTGATCAATAG